ATACCTGTCCAGTGTGTGTCGTTTCAAACCTAGTATTTCCAGAAATATTATGCTGCGAAGTATTACTCATTGGCGTGGTTCATTAAAAGGACCTAAATTTAGACTCCTCACTTTCTGGAGGAAGCATTCAAAGAGTTAAGCGCCTCTCCCGAAGCCCAGGCAGGCTGAGTGGTGAGGCACGCCCTCCCTAGCTTTCCGGGTTACGCCACTGAGTTTGAAGTGACGTATCGTATCTCAATATCCGGCCGGGACCATGATTTTGAATACGATGGGAACATAAAACAATAACATTTTTACTGAAATAAATCTGCCATCGGATATTTGAAAATCACAGGGGGTTGTTGGGACAGCTATAACTAGTGGCAAAGAGGACAAGACGTCCGTACTATGCCGTCTGGCCTGAGGAGCTGGCCGCGTGTTTAATGCGCAGACCATTTTTACTAAATCAGGTACTCAGACCTCACCGCGGCACTTGGCAACGACCCTGCCCCTAACATACCTGCCCGTAAGCTGACGTGGGTTCAACTTTCACCCTATCCAGCCTCTCTCACCAAGATTTTGCCAGCCCCACCCCCCCCCCCATCTCACCCATCTCCCATCAATCTGCGAGACGCAACCACCTAATTAATGTTTTACAACCTTCAGACCCAAACGTCCTAAACACCGAGACCCTTCACGGCGGATACAGAACCAAATTGTCCATGTGCTTCCGGTTATGTTAGGCGGTGAGTGGAGGGGAAGGGGGACAGGTAAAAGGGCCTGATACCCGGCAAGCTGGCCGTTACAGAATCGATAGGCGGGGGATGCCTTTCATTTTTCCTTCATTATTTTTCCTGACTACATTATACTAGCATTTTGGGTGGCGTGGGTGGCTTGTGCGTAAAGCGCTCGCCTCTCACCAAGGTGACCACGGTTTGAATCCTGGCCGCGGATCACGTGTGAGTAGAGTTGTGCGTTGGTTCTCTCCTGTGCCACGAGGATTTTTCTCCGGGCACTCCGGTTTTCCTCAATCCGGCAAAATCAAATACTTTCGATCTCAGGCTGTGCTCCGTGGTCATATATGGGTCGATGTGGTCGGCAGCCATAGGCGCCTTCACGTGCCAGCGGCCCGACCACGTTGCAGCCGCGTCCTTCCCAATTCAGCATCCCAGCTGCGAGTAAGGATGATTAGCCTCCCAAATGATTAATTATTATATTTCAAGAATCCGTGGGGAAATGAAACGAGGGGACCACGCCATCGTCTTAGTAATATTTACTGCTCTTGTTAAATTATTAAAAGTTAAATAACTATTGGTATCAGTTTTGTTGTCCCCTCCCATTTTCAATCCCTAGCCCCCTCGACACACACATCTGTACCGGGCCTTGAACACGAACCCTAAATTCAAGACGACAAAACAGCAAAATAACTATACAGGAATACCAAGTAATTCAATGAATTGGTGCAAATATTTTTAATATCAAATTGACTAGAATTGTTAATAATAATCACTGATTTAAGTACTTAATAAGACATTTGTTCGCAAGAGCCAGATTGGTATTTGCTCGTTCATTTCGACGACAAACGATTTAAAAAAAAAAAAAAATAAGTAAATATTCAAATTGTCTCTGCAATTCTACTTTCCAGAAAATTCGATTTCATTCATCAAGAGTGTATTACAAGGGGCATGAAGGTTCCATATTATCCAAAACTAGTGTTTTCAAAATCTTGTTTTTTAGAATTTATATTCTATATCAAATCACATGATTTTACTAAATTAGTTAAGCTATTAAACAAAGAGATATTATGAAATGTAAATGCACTTGAAAATAAACAACACCTTTTGTTCAATAAAACAGTCATTTGCAATAGAATTATAACTACGTTTTAACAATGCTCTGATAGTGTCACATTAACAACTAAAATTGCATTAAATCGTAAACAATCATTTCATAAGAATTAAACTCTAAGACCAAACTTTTAACACGTTAAAAATCCAATAAAAATAATTTGGAACATCACATAGAAAAAAAACAATAATGACATTTAAGAGTCATTGGTCCACTATGGTGCAATTCAAACTCATTTCTTTGTTTGTTTTTTTAGGAAGAAAACAAATCATTCCGAGGATTAATAAATGATACTGCATTGGGCGTGTCTCCGCCGGGGTGTCTCTTATCCGGGGTAGCGTGAATTTAGGACCCTATGAAATACAGACTCATTAATATTATAGTGCATGTCTAGCTGGTGATAATTAGTAAAGTGACCGCTCACGCGAGAGAGTTTAACCAATAATAGGGTGCTAGTAAGTCAATCACATTAATGTTTGTAGAAGACATAATTATGTGAGTTTTCAAGCAGCATCTTCACTCAAATTTTAGTCCAACTTCTCACCCTTGCTCATTCAAAATTGCAAAACTTTCTTTCAAATGCACTTAAATACGGGCCAGCATTTTCGCACCCGGTTGGGTTTAGCGAAAATTATTTAAAAAAAAAATGTTTCAGGGTATCTTCATTACCCGCATAACAAGTGTGTAACAATACGTTTACCAAAGTAAGACATTTTCAACCAATACTAGGGAAAAGGTGTTATAAGTTTTCACAGGAGTCTGATTTTCATATGACAGCGGAAACAAGCCTTTTTTTCTGAAATGAAGTTTGGATGAGAGAAATTTATCGGGAATCAGTATTTACCTGAGTGTCTGAGGAGCAGCACCATGGCCAGCTCCGGACATGGGGGAGGGGGAGGGGTCACATTACCAGCTGGGGGGGGGGGGGACACCACAAGAAAACACACAATTGCAGATAATGTTTTTACGCCTATGGTTTTGCCAAAGGGGGCTTGGCAGCTGCTCGCTTTGTGGAGACCCCTTTTAATGAGGCGCCCCCTCTATTGATGGAAACTTAACACAAGCTTTATTTAGCGCGCCCTTTCTCGAAATAAACTTTCATTAGTTGTTTGACGGTTTCTCGCGAAATAGAATCTCCTTATGAGTAATACCTCAAGACCGATTACTGGCCGAACTTACAACTTAAAATATCTGGGCCTGGTAGGCTCGGGTTATTGCCTGGACCCCAACAAACGAGTGTGTCATATTTCCTGGACGTTGATTTTCTGTTTTCATTCGGTTTGTATTTTTTCGCGTTTAAGATACTCTTTTTGTTTCGGTCAAACATGTATTATTGTTTCATTGTTTGACAGTTCCCCCATAATTTTAAATCTCATAATGTTACGCAGTCATCATGACAAATCACAGGACGAAATTCTAATTTTGAAATACAGAATTAACTCGTTTTGGGGACAACAACTCAAGAAATACTACATGTATTCAATTAAATTTCAAACACCGTGCGTTGGAGATCTACAGTCATGAGTTTTACTAAAAAAAAGTAATTGGGAAGTGCGTCTAGTTATCAGTTATGTCTTTGGGAGTCGATTTACAGGTCTTGGGGTGCAGCCCTGTATTAAAATTCCCATAGACATCAGTGTTAAATGTCAATGCTTCAAAATTCTGGTAAAAATACTCAGAACTCTCACGGGTATAGCTGCACAGAAAAAAAAGGTAATCAACATGTCATCTTTTATTGTATTTTCATTTTTTTTGTGGGTTGTTTATTGTATTTTCGAGATATTCTCACCCAAAGAAGGCGACCCCGTTTTTCCCCCAAAGTGGAACAGTAGCCATTTTCAAAAACGATCCCTCCACAACATGACACAATAGGGCCACTTTCGAGCACAATTGCATCCAAAATGCTCAGAATTGGAAGCCCCAAGTCCGGGCCAGAGGGTTCATTACCTTATTTCTTCAAATCCCCGATTTTATGGCATGATTTGCGTGAAAACGAATGATACATGGGCCTGACATCCAGCATTTTTCATTTCTCATTTTGTTCTGTCTACATGTTTTAGCATTTTAAGAATCCGTGGGGTAAATGGGATAATGAGACTACACCATCGTCATAGTGCCATTCATTGTTCTTGATGAATTATTGAAAGATAAGTAACAATAGGCATCATATTTTGCTCCCCACCCCTCATCTTCAATCCCGAACCCCCTCGACACCACTAATTATTCATCCTCCACCCCATCCATCCTCAACCAATGTAAACTCGGCCTTTCATTAACACGATACCCAAATCTAGAACTCAAAACAAACAAAAAAGGACAAAAATACAGGTAATTAACTGACTTTGTTTGCAATAATTTGTAACACCAAAGGGATAAGAAATTTTAACTATAATCACAGATGTAAGTACCTAATCAGACATTATTTTTTACACAAAAGTCAGACTACGATTTGCTCGTTTATTTAAACGACAAAAAGTATCTGTAATTGTACTTTCTTGAGAGGAATTCGATGGAATGTATTACGAGTGGGACAAGGTTTTCCACATTGTTAAAAGCTAAATGTTCAATTAAAGTAATGTTCAAATTACAGTTTTTGAGTATAATTTTATATTCGATACTGATTACATGTTATATGATTAATTTCTCTGCTTAAATTAATTAAGCTGTTAAACAGAGCACATCCTCAAATGTATACTTGGAAAGAAATGTTTCTTAGAATCAAATATATACTATAGAATAATAATTGCGTAATCTGCTGATATAGTGTCACATTATCAACTCAAATTACATTAATTCGTAAACAATTTCATCATAGTGAAAGCTCTAAAACTCAACTTTTCACATGAAACAAAAACTCAATTATTCATGTATAACATGGGATACAAACAAAAGTTGAGAGTTCTTGGTTCACTGTGGCGCAATTTGAAACTCTTGTTTTTTTCAAGAAAAAAGTTACCGAGGATAAATAAAGGATATCACCAGACTTCATTTAATCTCTGGCTGTATACGGTATGCGAAATGCAAATGGAAAAAAAATAAAATATTTGTGTAATACATGCATTTGTTACTTCCCAGACAGACTATTGTAACGGTTTATGTTTTTTTTTTTCATACGATTACCAGTTTAAGAAATAACAACATATATGCAGAAGGAAGGGTCGTACGCCCATACTTCAGGAACTACGTTGGCTCTCGGTTACGGTGCGGAATGAATTCAAGATTCCTTGGTACTTTTCAAAGTTATCTGCCATGGTGAGGCAGCGTTACGGTGCTTCACAGAGTAAATATCAGTTCATGCATTTAACATTCCCACTAAAAGCTGTGATGGGGTTCAGTTTAACCTTCCTAAAGTTCGTCCAAAGCCTGGCAAGGCATATAGTGACCGTGCAGGCTTCCACGTTATTTAAGCAAAAAATAATAAATTTGAAGGTTTTTTTCAATCGCATCTAAAACCTTCTTTTTAAAAAGTCATATATTTTACTTCTTTTTAATTTACTGTTTTAACGCAGTTTTGATACTTGGATGTAAAATGCTTTGTATTAAGAATCAATTATCTTTCTTAATATCATGAAATTGAACATTTTTCTTTTAATTCATCGGTTACTGTTTTGGCAAAATGGAAAGCGAAACCAAAACAATGCAGCACTACTCCTGTATATTTATGCGTTGTGTTTAATTATATTTATTTAATTATTTATTTATTCGGAGAAAAAGGAGGAAGCCACTGAATGAGGTCCAGTGATAGGTCGAAGAACTACGCGCCTTACCGTACACGGTAAGATACACCGTGTCTCCTCGCTGCAGGACCAGCACCGCGCTACCAGACAACTGACCTCGTTGATTTGATTCACCATAGGTGGTAATCACCTTGTGGTTGTTTTTAACAAGATGGATGACAAGGTGACCGCTGTTACTATGCTTAAGAACAGAAAAAGTAAATACGTAGATGCCCGGCACACTACAGGTGAACGTACCGGTTTCGAGATCAAAACTTGTACCTGGCAGAAGCGTCTCGGTCTGCTGGAAGGGCAAACGGGTGTCGTGACTCGTAGATTCATCCGAGTCGCTCGTCCTCACCACGTTGAATGCTACCCGCTGGTTTGAATCGTCTGGTGTCTCCCCTGGCTCACCCTTCTGACCTTTGACACCAGTTTCCCCAGTTCCTCCAACAAAACCAGGTAGCCCTCTCGGACCTATCTTGCCGGGCAGACCAATCCCACCATTACCTTTAGACCCAGTGTTCCCAGGTGCTCCCTGCTCACCTATAGGTCCAATAGGGCCAATCTCACCTTGCTGACCTGCATCGCCCTTTGACCCCGGCTGACCGTACGGCCCCATCGGTCCTCCTGGTCCAGGAAGACCTGGTATGCCGGGTATTGCAGCAGGTCCCTGGCAGCACTGCTGACACACCTGAGACGCAGGACCATCACCGTCCGAGGGAACCGGCCCAGTAACGGAAGCTCGGAGCTTGACAGAGTTACCCAGAAGGAGGGCGATTGACAGAATGGTGGCCACGCAGATCTTCATCTGAAAGGAAAACAATACAGGTTCTAAAATTACAAACAAAATCACTACATAAAATGAAGAATTTGTATACGAGGCATAATTTGGAGGAATCATTATTCAGAGAATATGTCGGCAGTGGCCTATCCGAGAGCAAGGGGATAACATGTAAATAAAAAGATGGGTTCTTTTTAAATCTGTTGCCATGACAACTACGGGCAATCCACACTTGTTAGTATTATTGTTTTGCCCGCCAAAAAAAGTTTGGAAAGGAGTCCGAATTAAATCAGTTTTTAATGGGGACGGCGCGCCCTTTCCACGATCATTATAGAATCAATTAAACATCATCACACCGACCTCGATCGTTCGGTCTTGAAGTCTTGAAGATCAGGTCCAAGAAGAGATCAAAAGGAGTTCACACTAGGCTGAAAAATAATGAACAAAGCAAATTGGAAACCTTTATGCTTGAGTAAAGAAAGAAATACTTTAATCATTGATTTTAATACAATTTTGAGGGTTTTTTTTTAAACTTTGATCAATAATCATTCGAAACCAGGAACAATTATTCACAAATAAAAACAATGGTCAAAGATAATTTTCATTTTCGTGACCGAATACGCCCAGAAAAGGCAATATGTGTTAATGACGCTTTGTGATAATTTTCTCAGGAACCTGAATACTCCCTGAAATCAACATTAAATTGATTCAAACGCTTTCATGAAAGCCTTTATTCAAATTCATTATACAATTTATTCAAATTCATTATACAAAAAAACCTGTGTATTTTTGAGGCACTAGTAAGTCATTGAATCATTTTTGAAAGTATAATTATGTGAGTTTTTAAAACAGCATATTCTTCATTTATATATGTTTTTCCCGTCCAATTTCACACCTTGCTCATTCAATGTGTAAACACTTTCTTTCAAATTCGCATACAAACGCGTAAGCCTTCTCCAACCCAGTTGAATTTAGTGAAAGAACAAATTATTTAAGGGTATCTCCACTATACGCATAAAAAGTAGGCAATTGACGTATTTGCATTGAATTTATTTTGCTTTGGATTTCAGTCCAGCTCGGGAATCCAACTTCATGCTTACGTTCACAAAAGTCATACATGTTTAATACAATTCGGCAGTTTAGCCAGATCAGTGGTGGCTCTAGGGGTGCGGAGGGGGTGCCCTCCCCCGGCAGTGACCGAATATTTATCAAAAAAGGCAAATTTCGATTGAGAGAGCCCTTCCACCCTCACCTATTCCCCCGGCACAAACTTCGCCCGGCAATAAACTCTCTTGATCCGCCCTTGAAAATATTATTTAGCAGTGTCAAAACAAATGATAAAATGACATGACTTTTGATACAATTTCATGAAGAAATTTACACACTTTTGTTTTAATTGTCAGGGAAGGGAACATGACAGGAACATTGTTAGGTGGCTAGATTATAGAAAGAATGACATTTTGAGCACTCGCCCAAAATGAGGTCTATTGTGCAAAAACAAAAAATACTTTTTTTTCATATTTAGACTATATTAACCAGTTTGTTAATTGTTGTAATCACTCTGTGTAAACAAAAAGATAGTTAAAAGGATACTCAAAATCAATCAAATTTATTTTGTTATCGCTAACACGATAAACGGTTAATGCAGTCTTCAATCTTTTTCTATAGTTTGCATGCATATCTCTTTTTTAGTTATTTTAGTTCTCTTATTTTTGGTGGTTTGTTTTACGAAACTGATTGTATGTAGTACGTAAACATGAAAGAAAAAATCTCGTGCGTGTTTCGTCATTAACCAATATGAAGAACCGGGTAAAATTAGGACAAGAAATCTGCTTCTTTTTTAAAGGGAAGATGCAAGATCTAAATTGACGCTCGAAAAATTTGTGCAAACCTCAACTCTTAACATGATTCTACAAATGTATCCAGCCATGAGCATCGCCAGGATTTTTTTTGGGTAGAGGAGGACAAATCACATTCCCCCATATCATTTTCCCGATTGATAATTTTTTGAGGGTGTCCAGGGACATTTGCACCCCAACCAATTAAAGTAACAACAATATGATATTCGCACCTCTTTCTTCATTTTCGTTTAATCCCTTTGTTTCTCCTGTTTTTGTGTTGTTCGCTTGTCCGAGGGGCAATTTAAACATGAATAACATGTGTGTGATCATGATCCAATTTTTTCGTTGCACCCTAAAGTCTATTCTGACAATTGACACTTTTATCCTGCAACGCTTGAAAGTAACGCTTAGACCTATCGTTGCAGACCAGTAATGCATTTCAATAGACCCCAATACAAGTTTTATGTCCCCCCATTCAGGAATTCAGGTAAAACACACATCAAATTAAAGATTATTTCATCAAATTAAAGATTATTTCATGATCTTTAATTTTCTGTCTAATTTTCTGGGGTTCAATCATCTAGGTGATCAAAGATGATCACCCCTAAAAGCAGTCCTGAAGCCCATCGCCATTTTGAAAATGGACGCCTACGCTCCATTGCAAAATAGAGCCATTAGGGCCGAATCATTATCCACATTTCACAGAAATACGAGCTCGCAGTCCTCTGCACGGCTTCAAACCTTGTTAAAAAAAAATCAAGTTCACGGCCTTCAAAATGCTCTAATTCTGAAGAATTTGAAGGCATGCAGTTCGTGATTTTGCCGGCGAAGGAAATTTCGGACTGATTTGCTGGCCTGCACCCATAAACAGAAATGGTTTAAAGACACAGTTTAAAAAAACACATTACGCAAAAGGTATTGAGATTATCCGAATTTTCAATAACACAACATAGGACAGGATGTGTCAGATGTCACGATTTCCTTTAAACGTTTTTCCGTGCCAACTTCCGCAGAACCTTTTATCCTATTAGCTAGAGTGATTTCCGGGGGAAAAAGGTGAGCCCACCGCATTGGGATTTTAGGTTTGACAATAAACAGGGAAAACTAGCGAGAAAAATAAAGGAGGTGATTGATCATACTGATATTATGGGCGGTCGAGCTTTTGCAAGATTTCTTTCGTTAAACACGAAAAGGTTTAAATTTATCATCTGACACAATTGTGAAAGTGCATGAACTTCAATGACAATAAGGAACTTGATGTAATACACTCCTGAAAAAGCTACAGCCAGGTTTGACTAGAAAACCGGCGAATCTGAATGGCAATAAAAACTATAAAACTTCCATGAATTCATAATGTTTTTTTTCACTATTCAGTATTTAGGGCAATTAAAATGCGTCGAGAGTTCACTATGGAAGTAGGAGCTGAAATATTGTCAGACAGAAATCCCGAACAAATAAAAAAAAAGTCGTGACTATATACATGTATTTGCTCTTAGCTATATTACTGCCTGATTTTGGCGTCACAGCATTTTGGTCTGAATCCGCATCAACTTTTCAGACTAGAGCTAATCCAGCTGTAGTCTATGCATCATAATACCTGGGTATGATTCAAGCACCAATATCGCATGATAAGTTATCGAATAACTAATAACTAAATAAGTAAGGGAATGGGATCATCATGGTCGGAAATATTTACAGCGCACTGTTTTGGCTATAAGCACATTGTGTCAATATCATATATCACAAAAGATCTATCCCAAAGTTAACAGAATTATCGTAAAAGACTGTTTGAAACACTCACCGTGCAATTCTTGTTCGATCTTGCAAACAGTTCTCTCGGGTTGTCGTCTGAACGTGAACATGAGCTGCGGTCGTTGTGTGGAGTGAGCCAGCAGCTTGTGACTTAAATATTGACGTCGATTTCCCGAGCAGTGACTGAGGAACTTGCGAGCCCGGTTTGTGATTGGCCCCTTGTGCGCTGTCAATTATATATCACCGACTCGCTTCATATTGATGAGAAAAAAATGATGTCAATGTTACATTGCCACGTATTAAATCCAGAAACTTGTATTACCGACACTGAAATAGCCGCATCTAATTGGTGGAATGATGGTGGAATGTCGGTGACACATTCAAACACGTGAATTGTGATTGGCACCTGTCAATCACAGACCACTCACTTGTGGTCACCGACTTGTTGGGTGACTAACTATGATTGGTGGATGGAATAATGACGTACACTGGCCATACGTGATTTAATCATTTGGCACATGTCAATCACAGACCACTCACTTGTGGTCACCGACTTGTTGGGTGACTAACTATGATTGGTGGATGGAATAATGACGTACACTGGCCATACGTGATTCAATCAGTGTTTGTTTTGCGCTTCGTGTTATTTAATGGAGCCACGCATTTGGTGGCTAGTATTTTGTAGTCAGGTTATGCAGTCTACATTTTTGATAGAAAAACGAAGGCGTAATAATTAAGCTTGAAAAGAAAAAGTAATAAGAACTTCAATATATTGTGTGCATAATATCAGGTCCATGTACAGTTGCCGCCCTCTTACGATGAAATATACTTATTTTGCAGAACCCAGCCGTTCCGAAAGGCAATTTAATTATAACCATGTCTATCCCCATCCACTAGTCAAACGCGCGCTCGGCCCGGCCAAGTTCTCGACATACAATCGACTTGCGCCTGCAGAACCCCCTCCCCGCTTATTGAGGCACTCCCATCTCCGCTTATTGAGCCCAACCTATACCTAAAACCAATCACACAATTATGCCAATTCTGATCTTGACCCTCGCCTGATCAAACCTTATCCCAAACTTACCCCAACTGTTTGGATCCTACCATGTGCCACAAACTTCTTTTCTTAGGAAACGCAGGCCTTCAATAACCTGATCTCAAAGTCAAGCTCGAATCCCCATAATGAGCCCCTGCCCCCACCATCATTTCCCCCTCCTAACCACCCTGGGCAGCCAACGGTGGATCCCTAACCAATATGCTGAGGCGGAGAAGGGTGAAAGCTGTACGATTTTCTCATAGGCTCATATGTAATGCTAGAGTGCTGTTGTTCCCCTTTCTATTAATAGTTTCGTCGACAGGAAGAGGAAGAGTAAATCTATTTTTACAGCATAAACAGTCGTGTAGTGACTTTTGTTTTTCGTTAGGTATTACCTATCGAGCGCCACTGTTTTTAGAAATTCACTCATCAATTTTCTGCTTATGACAACCAACAGTTTTCCCCGCTAAAATAGGCCGGCCTATAATAATACCTACTGAGAGAATTTGAAAAGACTGTGGACAATATTCTACCGAAAGTCCAAAATAATCACTAAGTGTGCCCCTGAGTGTGCCTGATTTCTAGCGGAACAATACTGCCCACAATTCCAAACAGTACCTATTCTTATACCTATCTAGGGTGTGTCGTTTTTAAACCAAGTACTTTCGAGAGATATTACGCTGCGAAGTATTACACATTGACGTGGTTCATTAAAGGGACCTTAATTGAGACTCTCCCGAATCCCAGGAAGGCTGAGTGGTGAGGCACGCCCTCCCTAGCTTTCCGGGTTACGCCACTGAGTTTGAAGTGACGTATCGTTTCTCATCATCCGGCCGGGACCATGATTTTGACGACGACGGGAACGTACAGCAATAATATTTTTACTGAATTAAATCTGCCATAGGATATTTGAAAATCACGGGGGGGGGGGGGGTGCTGGGACAGCTATAACCAGGGGCAAAGAGGACAGGACGTCCGTACTACGCCGTCTGGCATGAGGAGCTGGCCGCCTGTTTAATGCGCAGACGATTTTTTTTTTTTTACTAAATCGGGCACTTAGACCTCACCGCTACACTTGGCAACGACCCTGCGCCTAACGTACCTGCCCGTAAGCTGACGTGGGTTCAACTTTCACTCTATCCAGCCTCTCTCACCAAGGCCTTGCCACCCCCCCACCCCCCCACCCCCCCCCCCCATCTCACCCATCTACCATCAATCTGCGGACGCAACCACCTAATTAATGTTTTACAACCTTCAGACCCAAACGGCCTAAACACCCTGCCCCTTCACGACGGATACAGAACCAAATTGTCCATGTGCTTCCAGTTATGTTAGGCGGTGAGTGGAGGGGAAGGGGCTGGTAAAAGGGCCTGATACCCGGCAAGCTGCCCGTTACAGAATCGAAAGGCGTGGGGATGCATTTCATTTTTCCTTCATTTTTTTTTTTTGACTACATTATACTAACATTTTTGGGTGGCGTGGGTGGCTTGTACGTAAAGTGCTCGCCTCTCACCAAGGTGACAACGGTTCGAATCCTGGCCACGGATCACGTGTGAGTAGAGTTGTGCGTTGGCTCTCTCCTGTACCACGAGGGTTTTTCTCCGTGGCCTCCGGTTTTCCTCCCTTCGGAAAAATCAAACACTTTCGATCTCAGGCTGTGCTCCGTGGTCATATATGGGTCGATGTGGTCGGCATCCATAGGCGCCTTTACGTGCCAGCGCCCCGACCACGTTGTAGCCGCGTCCTTCGCAATTCAGCATCCCAGCTGCGAGTAAGGATGATTAGCCCCCAAATTATTAATTATTATATTTCAAGAATCCGTGAGGGAAATGAAACGAGTGGACTACACCATCGTCTTAGTAATATTTACTGCTCTTGTTCAATTATTGAAAGATGAATAACTATTGGTATCAGTTTTGTTGCCCCCTCCCATTTTCAGCCCCTAACCCCCTCGATACACATCTGTACCGTGCCTTGAACACAAACCCGAAATTCAAGACGACAAAACAACAAAATAACTATACAGAATACAAAGTAATTCACTGAATTGGTGCAAATATTTTTAATATCAAATTGATTAGAATTGTTAATAATAATCACTAATTTCGACGACAAACGATTTCTTTAATATTTTTTAGTAAATATACAAAATGTCTTTGCAATTCTACTTTCCGGAGAATTCGATTTCATACCTCCAGAGTGTATTACAAGGGGCATGTATGTCGCGCATTATCAAAAACTAGAGTTTTCAAAACATTATTTTCAGAATTGATATTCTATATCTTGTCACATGATATTACTAAATTAGTTAAGCAGTTAAACAAAGAGATATTATGAAATGTAAATGCACTTGAAAATAGACAAAATTTTTTACAATAAAATAATCATTTGCAATAGAATTATAACTGCATTTTATCAATGCTCTGATAGTGTCACATTAACAATTAAAATTTCATCAATGCGTAAACATTTATTTCATCAGAATTAAACTCTAAGACCAAATTTTTAACACGTTAAAAATCCAATAATAATAATTTGGCACACAAGAACAAAACAAAAACAATAATGACATTTAAGAGTCAATAGTCCACTATGGTGCAATTCAAACTCATTTCTTTGTTTTTGTTTGTTTAGATAGAAAACAAATCCTTTCGAGGATTAATAAATTATACTGCATTGGGCGTGTCTCCGCCGGGGTGTCTCTTATCCGGAGCAGCGTGAATTTAGGACCCTATGAAATACAGACTCATTAATATTATAGTGCGTGTCTAGCTGGTGATAATTAGTAGAGTGACCGCTCACGCGAGAGAGTTTAACCAATAACAGGGTGCTAGTAAGTCAATCACAAAAATGTTTGTAGAAGACATACTTATGTGAGTTTTAAAGCAGCAAAGTCTTCATTCATATTATTGTTCAAATAATTTCTCACCCTCGCTCATTCAAAAATGCAAAACTTTCTTCCAAATGCACTTGAACACGGGCAAGCGTTTTCGCACCCGGTTGAATTTAGCGAAAATATAAAAATGTTTCAGGGTATCTTCATTACCCGCATAACAAGTGTGCAATCTAGGTAACTTGTACATTGAATTCAATTCCGTAAATACGTTTACCAAAGTAAGACATTTCAACTAATACTAGGGTAAAGGTGTTATAAGTTTTCAAAGGAGTCTGATTTCATATGACAGCGGAAACAAGCTTTTTTTTCTTAAATGGAGTTTGGATGAGAGAAATTTATCGGGAATCAGTATTAACCTAAGTGTCTGAGGAGAAGCACCATTGCCAGCTCCGGGCATGGGGGAGGGGGAGTGGCCACATTACCAGCTGGGGGGCACACCACCAGAAAACACACAATAGGAGATAATGTTTTTACGCTTATGGTTTTTGCCAATGGAGGCTTGGCAGTTTCTCGCCTTGTGGAGACCACTATTTATGAGGCGCCCCCTCTATTGATGAAAACTTAACACTAGTTTTATTTAGCGCGCCCTTTCTCGAAATAAACTTTCATTAGTTGTTTGACGGTTTCTCGCGAAATAGAATCTCCCCATGAGTAATACATCAAGACCGATTACTGGCCGAACTTACAACTTAAAACATCTGGGCCTGGTAGGCTCGGGTTATTGCATGTGTAATATTTCTTGGACGTTGACTTTCTGTTTTCATTCGGTTTGTATTTTTCGCGTTTAAGATACTATATTTGTTTCGGTCAAACATGTATTATTATTTCATTGTTTGACAGTTTCCCCATAAAATTAAATATCATAATGTTACGCAGTCCTCATGACGAATCACTGGACGAAATTCTAATTTTGAAATATAGTATTAACTCGTTTTGGGGGCAACAACTCAAGAAATACTTCATGTATTCAATTAAAATGTCACACACCATGCGTTGGAGATCTACAGTCATGAGTATTACTAACAAAAAAAACCGGGAAGTACGTGTAGTTATCACTTATGTCTTTGGGAGTCGATTTACAGGTCTTGGGGTGCAGCCCTGTATTAAAATTCCCATAGACACCAGTGCTAAATGCCCACACTTCAAAATTCTTGTAAAAATACTCAGAACTCTCACAGGTATAG